TGACTCGAGTCCAAGTCATGTGACTCGAGTCCACACCTCTGTGTGTTTGTGATCATTTCTTCTAGGAGCGTTAATTACGGTGTGTTCACACCGAACGCTATAGATGAGACCAGAGCATTAGGTTTACATGGAAAGTCAATGTAGAAGCACGATGATGTGCGACTGCAGATCCCGCGAAAATTCAGAAGCAGATTTGCGTCGCGAAAGTGCATCAAACGCGCATCAAAGCAGCGCGTCTGGCGCGTTTGACTCGCGAATAAAAATATGTGCGTCAGTTTTTGTGTTGCATTTTGTGCATTCACGCGTATCGCGTCTACTGCTCGAGTTGGAAAAATCTGAACTTCAGCGTCAATTTGCGCCGCGACAACCAATCAGGAGCCTGGTGACGTGGCCCTGACCTAGGTCAAAGGGGCAGGTCCAGCCAAAGGCCTTCATTCTTCATTCAGTATGGAGGAATGGTTAATCAACGCCGTAGCAAACCACCCGGAGCTGTACGACACCAGCTGCTTTCTGTACCGAGACAGGAATAAAAAGGACCGAGCTTGGAGAAAGATATGTGAAGAGATCGGGCAACCTGGTAAGTTCATTCATTTCTCTTTTTAAATTTTTGACTGACCCGGGGAAGCCGCACAAAAGCTAGCAAGCCCGCCTACTGTCCCGCTATTTTCCCACTGATGTACAAATACCTTTCTGCTTTTATGTTGTCATATAGGAATATATGTTATTGTTTATTAATAAACAGCACACAGTGGTCCCGCTGTTCACTGCCTCGCGTCACTGCCTCGCTTTTTCGCTGATTTTTTATTGCACAGTACAGCATTGCATTCTGCAGCCTGATTGTCAAATCTCCTCCATGTCGTGGCTCCTGTGCTTGCCAAATTTATCATGTTTGGTTTTGATAACCATCACGTCCAATAGAAAAAACAGCACAAAAACACTCATAACTATGACCCTCATTCGGAAATACACACCTGCACCGGGATGGAAAAAGGCGCATGAAAGTGGCAGGCAGACGAAGACAAAACACGGCATAATAAGACTTTTACGTTTTAAAATCTACAAAGGTTTTCACTTTGAGAATCAACTTGTGAGAACTGTGACTAATGTTCATGTGTGTGGGGAAAAAGTGTATAAAGTGCGTGGCTAGTTATTCTGAGAACCCCTGCTGCAATAAATGAGGGACCACTGTACAGTGAGGCAAAAAAGTAATCAGGGTGGAAAATAAGTATTTGGTCAATAACAAAAATACAACTCAATACTTTGTAACATAACCTTTGTTGGCAATAACAGAGGTCAAACGTTTACTATAGGTCTTTACCAGGTTTGCACACACAGTAGCTGGTATTTTGGCCCATTCCTCCATGCAGATCTTCTCGAGAGCAGTGATGCTTTGGGGCTGTCGCCGAGCAACACGGACTTTCAACTCCCGCCACAGATTTTCTATGGGGTTGAGGTCTGGAGACTGGCTAGGCCACTCCAGGACTTTCAAATGCTTCTTACGGAGCCACTCCTTTGTTGCCAGGGCGGTGTGTTTTGGATCATTGTCATGCTGGAAGACCCAGCCTCGTTTCATCTTCAAAGTTCTCACTGATGGAAGGAGGTTTTGGCTCAAAATCTCACGATACATGGCCCCATTCATTCTGTCCTTAACACGGATCAGTCATCCTGTCCCCTTGGCAGAAAAACAGCCCCATAGCATGATGTTTCCACCCCCATGCTTCACAGTAGGTATGGTGTTCTTGGGATGCAACTCAGTATTCTTCTTCCTCCAAACACGACGAGTTGAGTTTATACCAAAAAGTTCTACTTTGGTTTCATCTGACCACATGGCATTCTCCCAATCCTCTGCTGTATCATCCATGTGCTCTCTGGCAAACTTCAGACGGGCCTGGACATGCACTGGCTTCAGCAGCGGAGCACGTCTGGCACTGCGGGATTTGATTCCCTGCCGTTGTAGTGTGTTACTGATGGTGACCTTTGTTACTTTGGTCCCAGCTCTCTGCAGGTCATTCACCAGGTCCCCCCGTGTGGTTCTGGGATCTTTGCTCACCGTTCTCATGATCATTTTGACCCCACGGGATGAGATCTTGCGTGGAGCCCCAGATCGAGGGAGATTATCAGTGGTCTTGTATGTCTTCCATTTTCTGATGATTGCTCCCACAGTTGATTTTTTCACACCAGGCTGCTTGCTTATTGTAGATTCACTCTTCCCAGTCTGGTCCAGGTCTACAATACTTTTCCTGGTGTCCTTCGAAAGCTCTTTGGTCTTGGCCATGGCGGAGTTTGGAGTCTGACTGTTTGAGGCTGTGGACAGGTGTCTTTTATACAGATGATGAGTTCAAACAGGTGCCATTCATACAGGTAACGAGTGGGGGACAGAAAAGCTTCTTACAGAAGACGTTACAGGTCTGTGAGAGCCAGAGATTTTCCTTGTTTGAGGTGACCAAATACTTATTTTCCACCCTGATTTACGAATAATTCTTTACAAATCCTACCATGTGGATTCATGGATTTTTTTTTCACATTCTGTCTCTCACAGTTGAAGTGTACCTCTGGTGAAAATTACTGACCTCTGTCATCATTTTAAGTGGGGGAACTTGCACAATCGGTGGCTGACTAAATACTTTTTTTGCCCCACTGTATATACTTTCTCTGTGACTATTGTTTTCAACCTGTTAACATTTAATATTGTCTTGACAGAGTCAACTGATTCTGCAAGTTTTTGCTTTATTACTTTAGGGCCAACCAGTAGAGATAAAAGAATAGGAAGAATGAAAAGATCTCAAAATATTGAGAATTTCTTCCTGAAGAAGGCTAAAATACAACCAGAAGCAGAGAGCAATGTCAGGGAAAGGTTCACTGAGCAGCAGTCATCATTGTCATTGAGTTCTACAAATGAAGGTATGTGTGAAAATGAATAAGGAAAATGCAAGGAAGGGATGTTTATATTGTCAATTGTTCAACCGATTCATAGGGGACGAATCCTAATATTTGGGAATAAATAATTAACTAAGCAAATATATGTATTGTGGCACATAATTATAAAGTAAAACAAAATCCTTCTTTAAATAACATGTTTTTTATTTAATGATCCACCTATTCTAAATCACTGATAATATTTGATGAAGCATAGGGTAGGTACTTGAGTAAATGTTTACTTTCAAAACATAAAGATTTTTGCAACTGCTGCTGTTTACAAATGTTTTTGTACTTCTTGTCTTCCTAACATGTAACACACTCTTATTAAAAGTTCAAGAGGTTTATTTTTGCACAATTTATACTGAAAACACTATCAAAAGAATATGGGCTCAAAATGTGGTCATAAATATTGTGTACTTGTAAATCAGGATTTGTATGTGTAAAAAATATTTGTATGTGTAAAAAATATTTGTGTGTGTGTGTAAAAATGATTGCCGACATTCCTTATCATACATGCATACGTCTGTTGGCTGAGTTGGGGAAAAGTTCTCAATAGAGTTTTTGAGCTCAGCAAGGAAATCTGTCAGTTCATGGACATGACATGTATAATGCGGTGAAGACATTTCAAGTGAAGCTGTCACAAATGCACCAGTGCCACCTGCCTCACTTTCCCTGTTGCCAAGTAATGTTGAACCAAGTCAGTGCAACAGTGCACCCAAATGCGCACTTTGCTGATAAACTGAGCGCACTTCGAAGCAAAAAAATGAGAATTTCAAGCTGCATTATAAACCATTTACAGTTGATGTGGAAACTGTACCAGTGCAGATTCAGATTGAGCTGCATTCTAATGGGACACTCAAGGGAAAGTACGACACTGAATGGCCCGCAGAGTTTATTAGTTATATTCCTGAAGCAATGCCCCCGGCTCAAACCTTGTGTATGTTTTCATTTATTTTTTTCTGGGGATTTTGGCAGCATGTTCATATTTCTAACTTGCATAATTTTGACAGGACATATTTTTTATGGAGAGCAAAATATTTAAAGTTAAAGCTTTTTTTTTTTAAAGTTTATTTATTCTGGAATTATATTCCTGTCTGTATTCATATTTATGTTTACAAAAACATTGTTTTAGTGTTCAATAAATGTTTATCTTGTCTGGCCTGCGACCTAAAGTGTACCTTGAGGTTTGGCCCCCTGTGCAATTGAGTTTGACACCTCTGTATTAAGAGAACACTCTCTGTGTGAAAAGTAATGGCTCTTCCTTTGACAGTCATGAATTAACTTTAATTAACTACACACTGTAGAAACTTGAGTTCAGTATCAGTGGACACACTCAGGCCTGAGCAGACCTGCTGAATCAAGAAATCACTTAAAAAGAAGCTGACTGACAAAGTGAAGCAGGCTAAAAGATCAAACAAAGTATCATCACTGATATCAGTCTAACTCCAACAGTGGAATGGTTTGTAGGTCTTTTCTAGAACCATGCATTTGTTCTGAGCTGTCAGATTTATCAGGATTAATTTGCCCTTTTAATAAAAATAAATAAATAAATATGGATTTTCATTCAGCTTCATCTTATTGATCTCAACTGCCATGCACCGAGACAGTTTCATGTTGGTTTGAAGGTAACTTGCTCCAGCACTTGGCTGTGCTTTGAGTTTTGATTTGATTTGTGATTCTCTTGGTACAATCCATTGGTTGTCATTGAAATCAGCTTTTTAATATTCTTTTTTTCCAGTTCCCACCATATGCTAAGTTTGTAATTACTAAAAAGTGTTACCTGCCAGTGCTCCAGATGTTAATGTTAACATGATGGAAATGCCTGTTAACATATAGAGATTGAAAATATTTAAAAAACTGAATTATTATTTTGAATTGTTTTAGTGATGTGTGTATTAAATGCCATCTATTGTCATTTTACCTTTTTTTAATAGACAGTTTAAGAAAATTTAACTTACCAGTGAAGCTCAGTATATGACTGCCCCTCATGGTTATGGAAAGTATCCAAGTCAAATTAATTCTGACATTACATATACTAATTAATGGTACACTCCAGCTGGTAGCTAGATTGACTTAGTGGCTCTGTAGCTTTCTACTAAGCTCTCTTAATCACACCCTTATTTGTTGAGATTTAAAAAAATGCAAATTTTAGTCACTAAAGTTTGCATGAACAACAAACACACCCAGATTGATATCTGCTGCTTCGTCTGTTCTGCAAAGGTTAGCAAGACTGGCTACAGAATTTCAAGGTCAATCCATTAATTTCACACACAACTAGGCCTGCATAATAAATCGAAAATCTATTGTCAGTGCGATATCAGCCTATGCGATGGGCCCATCGCAAAAAAATGGCATAAACTGCAACAATTGGGTACCTCAAAATGTTTACACATGTGCTTTAAAGAATTTACCAATCAAAGAAACCCCTTTACACATTTGACCAGTCAAATAGAGCCCTTCACAGCATTAACCAATCAAACGGATTAGAGGCCCGTCTCCCATGTAGGTGGGGAGCG